CCCTCTCCACTTAAACCTATAATGAGATGCAGCATGTGTTAAAATGTGAACACCAACCCTTCCCAACGTGGTGCCCTCCAGATGACTAGAGCTCTGACCAACCCAATCACCACAACAAGTTGCCATGCTGGCTGAGGATGAAACTGCACATCAAGAGGACACCAGCTTTGGAAGGCTGCTCAGGGCTATAGTACTATACTTTCAAGATTTCTTCAGTGACAATTAATAATGCACAATTCTTGCCCCTCACTATTTTATTATCTGAGCATCGATGTGGCCACTGTTACTGAGGTATCTACACCCCTCACAGATATTGACATGCTAATTAAAGTAAAGCATGAAAGTATTAATTTTCCCCTCCCTTCCTCCGTTGTTGGGGGGAAATACAAGCACACAGAGAAGATGAAGAGAGAAAGACTACTGAAAAGTTGGATTCAGCTGTTCAAACTTTTAAAAAAACTAAATAAATAATTTCTGTACTTACAAGATGGCTGCCAGGAAATGCAGGTAGGCTATGTCATAAACGACTGAACTACCTTCTGAGTAAGGTCTTGAGTTGATTTCACTCACCCAATTTGGCTGTTGCCTCTGACTAGGCAGAAAGGAATACAGAGACTTCATCTTCTACCTAAAACAATCTTCAGATGTTTTCCTCACTTGTACACTCTACATGTGAGGAGGAAAGTGAAAATGGGCATACTTAGTTCTTCTCTCGCACTAACCTCATTGCCTACAACTGTTTGCAAAAGAGAACCCCATCTGTCCATGGAAGCTCTCCTAATTCTAGAATCTTGATTTTTAAAGCTTGTAAAATCTTGGAGATTCTGTCTTTTGCAGTTGCCTGTCCCAAGTACAGAATGATGAAACCACTCTTCATTACTGCCCTCCTTGATTGTAGATATTATACTTGAGAAGGACTCCTGAAAAGGGCTTGAGGCCTGCTCAATAACATTTGATATTAGGAGGAAAAGTGTCTGAGCCTTATTAATGAAAAGCATGCTCAAATGGGAAATGCATCCCCTTTTTTGGCTAAGAATTGCTGAGAACAAAAAATTAAAGAATATATTGAGTCACCTGAAAACTGTGGCAAGCCCAATAGATAAATGAATTTATCCAGAAATTGGAAACACCACTTTAGCTCTGTGGATAACATTTTCTATAAACCAACAGAGGTACTAAAATGTATTGCATGTCTGATATACAAAAAGCTAACAGAAGTGTTTGCAACAGGAGAAGAAGAGGTTTATCTGATTTTCTGTGTTCACATTAAGGTCGTTGAGTTGGTGCAACCTTTTATTTAATAAATGACTTGCAAGCTGACTACTCATACCAAATGACAAACATTGATTTGAAATGTCTGTTCCAAAAACAAAGCACTGGCAAACTACTGTCTTTGCAAGTAACAATCAAACAAAAATATGCACAGCATTTTGTGTACACACAAATAATGGTGATGGCAGGTGTAGTTGTAACAACTGGAACAGTTTGAGAAATCTAAATGTCTGGCACCTGCTCCTTTTTGATGTTAAAACAGCCTGGCCAGCAATATTAGGAATCAAAATGCTGCTAGTGACATTAGCAATATAGAAGCTGTCCAGCAAAATCCAGAAAAGAGAAGCTCTTTTGAAAACTTCCATTCACCCACTGTTGGCTACAACTGAAATGTGTCTGCTACTTTCAGACCCATTTAAAGCCAGGCTCATCACAGCTAGACAGCTAGCTCCACCTAGTGGAAGCTACTCACAAGCTTATCATCATCATCATCATCATCATCATCATCATCATCATCATCATCATCATCATCATCATCCTGCAATTTGTACAGAAGGGATTAGAGGGACAGAAAGGCAGTTATAATCCTTTAGTTTCAAGAGGTATTTCTAGGAGTTTATTTGGAAAACATATGCCTATGTTTTGCGCTCAATTGCTGTGACTTGCAGTATTTTCTCACTGCTTTTTAAACACCAAGCAGCAGCAAGGTGAACGTCTTTGGTGTGTTTGGGTGCATTTGGTTTTCCATCACACTTTGGCTGAAATCGTGGTGGTTAGTGTAGCAAGTCACAACTAGAGAAGGCCATTAAATAAGAAGGAATTTGGTGAGTCAGTTCTTCTGTAAATGGCATTGATTTAGTGGGCTTCATCTAGTTGTGCCCTACTACACTAAATAACAGGATTTCAGTCCGACTCAATATTCTGGAGTGTGTCTTCTGTTTCCAGCTGGGATGACATGCTTCACATATCTCCATAGTGGGTGTCACCCTCTGTGTGAGGGCACACCCTCTTCCCAATCAAATTCCCTTGCCTGTTTGCCCCACCCCACCATCGGTCTTGTCTTCATTGCACTGCTTTTTGCTGCTTTATCTGAATGCATTCATATATCTGCAGTAGCAGCTTACTCTTATCCTCTCTTTTTTGGCATTGGCACTGTGTGCTGTCATGATGATATGCCACAGCGTGAAAACCAGTTAATCTTGGGCACATGGCTTGTGATATCAGTGTCAGGTTCTAGCCTTATGATACATTTACTCATATTGTGCAGTTCCTGACTCCACAGTGACATGACAAAATGATGGAAAGGGAACATGGTATTATCATGAATTATCACGACTTCCTACTCCCCACCCCCCAGCCAGCGTCTGTGTAAAGGAACTGAATGTGTCATGTGCACATGACACAGAAGGTGAAGACGTTCTGGCTGCTGGTAGTGTGGCTTTGAATGGAGTGTCTCTTAGAATGCACATGTGGGATTGGCAGACATGATAACAATGTGCAGCCTATCATGAGACCAAATAAACAGAGGAAAAACCGAGACTGGGGTGTGTGTGTGTGAAACAGGCTGCAGCAGGAACCCCAAGGGAAAGAAATTAGTATACAGCAGGACACAACATGACAATGACCTTCATCTAGCTTGATTCACTGTATTTATCACAGGCTGAAGAAAGATGGGTATTTATTTCAGAAATTGTGTGTTCTAAACAGCATTTAACACTTTATTTTACATTGACCCACAGCCTAGGATGGTCAAGACACTCAATCTAGTATAAGATACACATGAAGGTACACATATGGTAACAGGCTTGATAGTCAAAGGCTGAAGTCATCAGGTAACAGGTTTAGGCAGAATTCTGAATACTGTAGCAGTCCCTTATCCACAGGATGAGTATCCACTGATTCATTTATCCACAGTTTAAAAATATTTTTTTAAAAATCCCGAAAAAAACCCTATTTTTATGTACTACCAGAACCGGTCTCTAGAGGAAGCCAGAGACCATGCTATGAATACTTGTTAGTATTCATAGTATACATAACATGATCTCTTGTTCCCTCAACTAGCCAGTTCGGATAATGTATGTGAAAATAATTTTCTCTAGGTGTTTTTCCTTTTATCATACTATATATATGATATATATAGCATTCTCTAATATCCACAGTTTTCAGTATCCATGGGGGAGCTTGGAACCAATCCCCAGTGGATATGGGAATCCGACTGTATTTCACTGTTACAGGCATTGGTGACGGAGAAAAAGTATTCAAGATGTTAAATTCTGTTGTTCATCCTGGAAGATTGGAGTTTGTGTTATGCTATATTAGGCCAAATGTGCCTGTACCTTATTGAAATCCATATCAATCCACCACAGGGAGACATGCAGTGCAATCCTAAATGATTTATGGAGTTAGGATTAGATAAGCCTCTTCTGCTAGCAAAAAGGCCCTTCTGCCAATTGATCTCAACAATTTGACAACAGCGTGATCCACCAGCATAATTTGCTTTGCTGGCTTTAGTAGAACTTTGTTAGCAACAAAGGGATGGAGAAAAGGTAGATTGAGTGAGGAACCAAATTATGCCAGAGCCAGCCTTCTTTCTTCCCAGAGACACAATCAAATGTTAGCAAACATTTTGGTTGAGGGTTAGTCATCCTAAATACTTTCGAGCATCCCTAAGTTGGTGAGGTTTGGATTTAGCCGAGTTTCAACTAACCTAGTGTTGGTTCAGCTACCATTGGCCATCTTGTCCAATTAAGACTGCATCACTGGCCCTCACATTTATTGAAAAAAAGCAGGTTCCACAGAACTCTGGGAGACTGACTTCTGACTAAAAGAATATAGGTTTACAGTAACAGAGACTTTGGCAAAAATCTTCTGAAGATGGGAGAATGAAATACTAAGGGCTTCTAACCAGATTACATATCATTATAATATTTTTAAAATATCTACCCAGCCACCTTTACTTGCAAGACAGTGACAAATACGAAGCATTTCCATGTTCATATTTTTTTTTCAAATTACAGAATACCTTCTGAGAGCACTGAGAAATTTTAAGGATGCAATGCTGCAATCAGTTATATCACAACACTACTTTTTTATCCTTTCTTTATAACGCTAAAAGAATATGGCATATGCTGTGGGCTAGGATGAATGGAAGAAGTCTTTAGCTGCAAAACCTAATCATTTTTCTGTCATGTTTCCTAACTGTATTAACATATGAAGGCCTTAAAGAAATAGTTTGTATGTGTTCATTTGACTTCCTCCAACTTTATGGAGAGTGTTCAAGCTTCAGCTTTCAGCACACTATAGTGTAAAAGGTGAGGTAGCATGACATACTCCCAGCCAGAGTCTCATGAGGTAGCGGGTCAGTACAGGGCCTTTCAACATTTCCTAACAAATGTGACTGAGTGTTTTGTTTAGACCACTGAGAACCTGGTTCCAACTCCTGCTGGGACAGAATATTTATCAGCCGACCTTGGAACCACATTATCTACCTCATATTTGTTGTCACTAGAGGGTGCTCATGCATAGTATCCTCAATTCTTTGGAGAAAGGATGGGACAGCAGGAAAATCTTTGGTCAAACTTGTCTGCTGCAAGTATCACCAGTGCTTTTTTTAACTAAAGCCTCCCCTGAGACTCACCCAGAATAGTAAGATTTCGTTCTAATAGATCACAAAAGAAGAAACTCTGATGTATTAGGTGTCTTTAATCCAAAATAGGGGAAAGCAGACCAAAGAATTTGTTTCAGCAGTGACATCAATCAAAAAACAGAAACTGTTTTTTTTTACAAATTAAAATTCCATACAGTGTCTAAAATGTCACCTAAAAGCTAAACTTTTCTTTTAAAAAAGAAAAGAAAGTGTGTTTTTTAAAACATTAAAATGCCAGTGAAACAAAATGTGGCATAAAAATATTCATTCATAAACATAGGATATACAGGGAAAAGTCAGACAAATGGATCAACCACCAGCATGAGGCAAACGTTGATGTAAATAGGGCACCTTATCCACTTTATTTTTTTCTCTCTAAGGTAAAGTTAGAGCAAGACTTAAGAGGGCTTGACCTGGATGTACCCTGCGCAAAACACTAGAATCTCACTGGAGACCTTAAACGCGTACACTGATCACATCATGTCTCCTTTAGTTTCTTAGGCAGAACGTCCATCATCATCTTTCTACACTAGTAAAATTTATGCCGAGTGGTCAAGCAATATCTCAAGACGCCAAGGAATCTACCCAGCTGAAGAAAACATTTTTCATTTGTTCTCCCGTTTCCCACTCCATTTCCCCATAAGACTGGTCAGGGGGCAGATTCTGCCCAACACAAGCTGCAATGTATATTCCAGTGGGATACAAATATCAGACTGGAGCCTTTGCTATGCAGTCAAAGAGTTGTGGTTTCCTGGCAAAGATAAGAACTGCTGTATGCAACCATAAAAACAATGAGGCAACAGCCACAAAATATGCTCACGGGTACAGAGGACATGAGCCTGCAACTAATGGTTATGAGTATCCTGCACCCAGGACTTAGGCTTCAATATTGAATGAGATGGTGATGGAAAACTGGGCACCATTACTCTGGTGTAATGCTCTAGGGAGGCTTTGTCAGCTAATGAAAAAGATCAGTCATCTATCACTCAACAAGCTCCTTTCTGCCGCACCCACCCAAATACCCTGAGATCATAACTGAATTGTGGGTGCATTTAAGATCCCAATATTACCCCTTATAAAGTTAAGGGGATATACAAAATTGGAGAGTCTTTCTGCCTATACTTGCAGACATTCGATACACATCCTACCACATTATTACATACAATCCACAAACTCACAAATAAAGAGAAATAATCCTGTGCGTACCCAGTTAGAGAGTGAGAAGGCTTCCAGTTTCATGAGGCGTCTTGTACTTAGGACCTTTGATCTATAACTTCCATGACCTGTAAATTGAGCTTAAGGTCCAAGAGCAAAGGAACAGTTCCTGTTTCAGAGGACATTTCTTTGACAGCCCTGGCACTTCTTCAAAACAAACTGAAAGCCCTTAACTCTTTAAAAAAAAAACATTACTTAGCACAGGACTCTGTCTGCATCTCAGTACTACAGTAGTTTTAAAAATATAGATATATATATTATTAATCCTTAAATGCTGATCACAGGATTTTCAGTGTCCCTGGAGGAAAAAAAGAAGGGGAGAGTTTACCAATAAAAATCCAATTATCAGAAGATTTCTGAACATGACAAAAATAAAAATAAAATGAAATAGAAGTATGCATTGTACAGAGGGCAACTGTCTCCCGCCTGACTCGAAATAGGTCAGAACCATGAGGGACAGCTAAAAAAATAACTAGTCTGGTATAAAGATCTGGATTCCATGTGTCTGATATGACAGTCTTATCTGATTTGTTTTAAAAATATATAGATATAGTTATTGCTTTCACAACCACCAGGCTGGACTCTTGAGCACTCAGTGAGGGAGGGCTGTAGGTTCAGTGGGGTTTGCTTTCTTTCGCCTTTTCATGAGCAGCGGGTTGGATGAGTCTTCTATTTTCTTAATCTTGATTTGCTCGTAATCCACTCTCATGGTGGCCAAGGCACTTGTCATTTCCTCCTAAAAATACAGGAAAAAGTGAGTGACACGGAGCTGTCATGCTGGGTGGACAAAAGAGATACTAGAGCAGAAGATGTCAAACTCAATTTCATCTTGGGCCGCATTGGCATTATGGCTGCCCTCAAAGGGCCGGTTGTATCTCTAAGACTATATAAATGTATCTACTGTTTATCATATTAAATATAATCCTCCTCATTTAATTATTACTGGTTTTTGGTAACGTAAGTAATAACTGAAAGTAAACGTATATGATCAAAGTCTAGAAATAATGGCAAGCAGATATTCAAGTGTCCAATTTGCCATGGCCCTCGTCCCTTGTTATCACCTGGCTGCTCTCTCGCTTCCATAGCGGGAGAGGAGGCAGAGATGGCCGCCTCTATGCGACACCATCAAACAGTCCTTGCCGGGAGCCTTAAGAATGGGAGTGGGCAATAGCGAGGACTACATTTCCCAAGGTGCTGTACGCTGCCCAAGCGACTGCAATTTCTGACTCTTTGCTGCTTGGAATGCTGGGATTAGAAGTCCTGCTGGGCAGATTCCCAGCATCCTTGTGGAGCACTATGGGTGACCGAGTAAGCACCTGCGTATTGTATACTGTACAGTAGCAGGCAACAATCCAGAGTATCTACCCACAAAGAATTTAAGGAGCATTTTGATAATAAAGTAAGACATTCTCCAGCTTCCTCCAATATAGCAGACGACCATACCTCAAAGAGAATCCACCACACTGGGAGGGGGTTCTAAATGTTTATAATCCCTCCCCACCCTGCTTCTCAGTTTGGACCAGTGAAGATTCCTCTTGTCTTTATTTTCAGCTGCTAAGATGTGAAAACGATTTAACTTTGTTTATCTTCTAATTTTCTGATCTACATTAGATGATATTTTTTTCTGATAGATTTATGTGGTTCAAAGTTTCATGCAAACCTTCGGATAGTCCCATTGCGTTCCTCTTGTGATATTACCATTGGTACAGTATCTATCCAAAACCAAATGGCTGCTCTCCAAACTCACTTTGCCCTGCTCCTCAAATAACCATCCTTAAGACAAGGATTTATGTTTTCATCTTTTATTGATCAAAAAGCCTTTCAACCTTCTGTTCAGCAATAGCATCAAATATCTATAAACAAAGGATCAACCCAAGTAAGGATTTTTTCAGGTTTGTCCATGATAAGTCTTAAGGGCAGACTGAAGGGTGTGTGACACCTGTGACTGCATTTCACAGGCCTTTATCTATCTGTCTGTCTGTCTTGAAGGAAACCACATATATGGGAAATGATCAGGATAGGTTAGTGTGCTCTGAGACTCAGGCGAGGAGGACAAAGAGCCTCCCTTTCCCCACCTCACGTTCCTGACAGACGTTTTCTACATCCAAAGCTGTTGTTCATCTTGGTGAAAATGGCAGGTTTCCTCTCAAGATGAAGAACAGTTTTCTAGACCAGTGGTTCTTAACCTTGGGTTACTCAGGTGCTTTTGGACTGCAACTCCCAGACGTCTTCACCACCAGCTGTGCTGGCTGGGGTTTCTGGGAGTTGCAGTTCAAAAACACCTGAGTAACCAAAGGTTAAGAACCACTGGTCTAGACAGTTTTTTAATTGAGAACACAGTCTGAGGGGAAAGGATTAATCCTTCACCAATTGCTACTGTTCTCCTGATCTTGATCAGGCGCCTCACGACAACTATAATTTAACACAATAGATCTGTGAAATGCAACATCACATTTTACATATGATATAGTGCAACTCCCAGATACAAAGTTTTGACCGATTTAAATTATTCTCACTTTTTATCTCTAACAACTAACATAATCTAGCCTACGATGTGTCATCCTAAGGAAAGATTGTAATCCTTTTTCTTGGCTATCAATGGGCAGAGAAAATTAGAACTATGACTGAGAAACATGGGTCCAGTCTGCATATCTGACACCATTTTCTGCTACAGCTGGGCTGCCCATACCATTGAACAGACCCCTAATTACTTACACTTGGTTTCATAACCTTCAATCCGGCAGTTTACAAGTGAAGGAGATAAGGGATGCTGTCAACTCACCTTGACATCCTCCCAAAGATCTTTCTCTTCTTTCAAAACCCTACTAGTGTGAAGTGGTGTCTGTGGCACCTGCATTGATTGCTGCAGAGGGAAGATAAACAAAGTATTCACTTCTGGGTTAAAGTGCTTTAGACATCCTGTGTTTGTGTTTCTCAGGCTAGACAACCACATAAGTTTGGAAAGGGACTTTCAGAAATGGCAACTGAGCACTTACCATGATCCAGGGGTGATTCATGAACTCTGTTATGGTCATCCGCTGAGTTGGATCTGTTTTCAGCAAATTTCGGATCAGCTGTTTGACTGGGGGGGAAGGAAAGCAGCATTAGCAGTACCTTACACAACCTGGCATCTCAATTGAAAACTAGAAACCTATTTCAAGACTAAAAAAACCCCAACAACCTGGGAGATCACTTACATGGGAGTGGGTAGGGTACAGTATAGATGTACTTTTAAGCAGAATATATTTTGGCCTATATAAATCTGCAGTGTCCTCTACGCCAGTGGTCCCCAACCTTGGGCCTCCAGATGTTCTTGGACTTCAACTCCCAGAAATCCTGGCCAGCAGAGGTGGTGGTGAAGCCCAAGGTTGGGGACCACTGCTCTAGGCTAATATTCTACTCCCATGCCAATCGAAAGCAAAACTATTTTCTTCCCTGTGATCTGAGTATACAACTATACCTTATAGCTCCAAATTCTCAACAATTATTGATCTTCTCTTAAATTTTGAGTTTTTATTTTCAGAAAAGGGGGGAGGGAAAGCAGGCCCCATCACTGCATGTTTTCCACTCCTATTACACAGCCTTGGGGGGGTGGTGGTGGTGGTGGTGGTGGTGGTAAATTTTATTTTTAATTTTATTTCAGACTAAAATTTCCATTATAAAAAAACAAATCACAAAATAAGTGATGATTACTTTTGAAAGTCCTGGTTTTAAAGCCGTGTTTTAATTGCATGCCCTCTCCTAGCTTTTTCAGAACAGAACAATAGCTGCTACCAACATGTTTACCTTCCTCCGAGACTTCCGACCACTCTGGGTTTGGAAATTCATATTGACCCATTCGGATCCGTTTCTTCATGCCTGGAGAAATTGCTAGACCATGGTTGGAATAGAAAGGGGGGTACCCACACAGTCTGTACAAAACAGCAAAATGACATGTGTCAGAGAAATCAGAGTTAAATGCCAACATGATCCTTCTGACAGTTGTCCTTCTGATTTACAACAAAACAAGAGCAAAAAAAAAAAAAAGATCATTTCTTGCATATACTATGAAAGCCAGTCAGATAAGATGGTCTGTTTGGAGGACCTACTCTGTACTTTTCATGGTACCTAGTGATTTACAACCCAAGAAATAAATAAAGTAGTGCACAAATAAATAATTGTATTTGTGCAAATAAAGAAGTGACATAATGGCTAGGGCAGAATTCTTTTTTTGAAGAGATTTGAGGAAAAAAGAGGGTTAGAACCAATGATCATAGGAATACATTGTTTTTCTCTCAAATTTGTAATGAGGAAATTCCGTATTACTGTTTAAGTAATAATTAAGGAATTTGGCATACATTTGGTATGGTGTATGACAACATTTAAATTAACACTATGACCTACCAAGTGCTCTTGGGACATCCCAACTTGCAAAACTCTCCTCATCCCACAACTCCTAAAGAATAGCTGTGCTGACTTCCACCACAGTTTGTGGTTCTTCAGATCCACATCTAGTCCAACAAACAAGCCAAACTTTGTGGCCACCAGGATCCTGTCCTTATCGTTTTGCCTGATCTCACATCCAAACCTTTGCATAAAGGTGACGGACAACCTGTTGCTCCTCTTAAAAACTACATGCTTGGACCTTAAGAAGGGGGAAAGACCTTCAAGCGAAGCAGGATTATGGAAGCCTAACACCAATGGGGGAGATATACTTGCCTTACTGCCCAAGTGCAAATATGTACTGACCTGGAGGGGAAGGATGGGACTTGTGCCGGCAAATGGGCTGCTGAGATGCTGTGTGGGGGTGGGCTTTGCCTGGAGCTGAAGTGGTGCAAGCAGAGCACAACTCTGGGGTCTAGCCCCTTTCCCTATCTGAACTGGAGAAGAAAGCCAGAATTCCTCATGTTGCCACAGAATAACAGAATATTCATGGTGGCAACCGGATGCCTGCTCAGGTTGATGAGAGGTCCAGCAGACACAGGTTACAGAATTACATCTGCCTTCAATTTCTAACAGTCCTTTCTACCACAGAGCTATGCTACCAACGACGACAATTGCTGCTTGTCCATTAGACTATCAGGGGCAATAAAGAAAGAGGATACTCTGTCATAACTTTTTTAATTTTTTTAACATATTTCATACCCTTTTGTTCAGCCAAAACCAAATAAACTGGCCCTCAGCCATCTAAGGATTTAAACATTGCATATTACAGTGATGCCTCACAAGACAAATGCCTCACGCAATGAAAAACTCGCAAGACGAAAGTGTTTTGTGATTTTTTTTTTTGGTGATTCGCAAGACAAATTTTTCTATGGCTGTGCTTCGCAAGATGAATTTTTTTCCTTTTTTGGGGGGGTTTGTTTTAAATCACACAACTGTTAGTACTGCGCTTCACAAGACGAAAATTTCGCAATACAACACGACTCATGGAATGAATGAATTTCGTCTTGGGAGGCATCACTGTAATTCAAATATAACAACCAACATTCTGAATTGCATCCAGAAACAATGACAGGGCTTATCAAGCTAAGATCAAATTCTTAGAATGGCGCAGGGACAGTTATCTATATCCTCTCACTCCAAGGACTGCCATGCTGCTTTGGAACAGATCCCTTACCACAAGAACACCTTCATCAATACTACCCTCAGTACATTCAGAACATCTCAACCTTCTCACTGGAGCAGGTGGAGCGGCTGAATAGGATTGCTAGAGGTTAGGTAGAGGTCCGACGTGTCATGTGGTACAATCCCCATATGCAAATGGCATGCACACCTCAAGCAACCCTATTTGGCCTGGTTCCTTCTGCTGTCAATTTCCCATATCATGAAGTGGCTTAAGTGAAGACAGCCACTTCAGGATACTAGAAAATTAAACACAGAGGAAGTGTTGCTGTTTTTTTTACATTCTATTAAGGTAGTGTAGATGATCTGCATCACTAGAGAACATCAGGGGAGCCAAGGCTGAGAATCATTCATCTAGAATTTACTGCCAAGATGGGTTGTATCAGCTAAATATATTATCTACATCTTCCCACAGTTCTTCAAAATAACTCCTGACTTGATTGAATGGCTGACTGAAAGAAAGTATGGCCTTTCTAGTTTATTGGTTCAGTAAAGTGCCAGAGGATTTGGAATGTTTTATAGCCCTACAAGAACAGAGTAGACCATACAGAGCAGTCAACATTACTGAGCAGTACAGAACAGAAGAAGTTGCTTACTTACAAAATATACATGATGACGCCAAGGGACCACATATCACATGACTTGTCATATTTCTCCGGACCTAGAACTTCTGGAGCTAAAGACAGAGAAGGGATGATATACAGAGTCACTGTGGGTGCAGGATATTAAGACTGGAGTTTCGAGTACAGTGGTGCCTCGACTTACGAACTTAATCCGTATTGGAATGGTGTTCGTAAGTCAAAATGTTCGTAAGCTGAAGCACCATTTCCCATAGGGAATGCATTGAAAAACCGATTAATCCATTCCGGCTGAAGAAAAAAAAATCACCAGAAAATTAAAAAGAACACAGCAAGCCTGGTCGGAAGGCACTCCGTTGATGAGGTTTAAGAAGAAGAAGAAGAAAAACTCCATAAATAAACAGCAAAGCCACCAACAACACAGCAGGGAAACCTACCCGCCCCAGCCAAAACCCACCCAGCAGAAGGCAAAGCAGGAAGCTAAATCCTAGAGAAAGCAGCAGCCCTGCTATGGAGGTAGGGGACACCTGTTGTCATGGCTGCTACTATTTTTGCTGGTGGTCTGTGCAGAAGAGGGAACAAAAGACCATGTATAACATCCTGAAACCGTAACTCTGACTAAAAAGAAGGCATTTCTTCCGAGGGGGAGTCCATTCATCAGCAAAGGCTACCCATGAGAGTCAAGGAATGGATGTGGCCAGATAGTCAAGACAAAAGGGGAAATCTCCACAACTGCATCAAAGAGGAAACCAGGAGGAGGAAGTGGGTGTCCATGAGCCCCTTGTCCCTAGTTGAGGCCAGTGGAGTCTGAAATTAGGGAGAGACATTATCCATCTTGGAAAAAAGAAATATCGTGGAGTCTGAAATTAGGGAGAGACATTATCTTGGAAAGAAGAAATATCGAGTCGTCACCTTCCTCACATAGGGACTCAACAGAAAACACACTTTGCAGACACAGCAGATGGCCACTGGGGGCAGGTTTTATTTCAGGAAAAACAGGGCACAATGACGATCACTTGAAAGAGGCTAGCATGGAAGCCCTGGAGTAGAAGACCAAGATGCCTGGCATAGCCACCGTAATGGGGCTAAGCAAACAAAAACGGATGGAGGGTTACTGCTTGCTTTTTAACAACCGTACAATGTTCAGGAATTAGTATTCAAACAGGACAAGTTGCCCACCCTTTTTAAGAGCTTATGGCCCTTGGCAGTGGGTCTCTGCAGTTCAGTCACAGTTCATTTAGCACGCCTTATCAGTTCTGTTTTCAGCTTCTGGAAGAAGCCAATTATAAGGAGACTATCTAATACAGACAACCTGGAAGCTTGCCAACAAAGGATGCCAGAAGGACACATACACACCCACCCCAGTTTAAAAGTAAACATAGGACCTGGCCTTTGAAACTGAGCTGTACATTTCCCATACCTCATTTTACAAAACAGACTAGAATTAAGCCCTCAAACAGCTTAAAATATTGTACATAACCTTATATACATATAAGTACTTTCCCTGCCACAGGATTCTGACTCAAGCATACCCCTTTTAGAAAACAAGGTTTAAAAAGAGAGTTTCTAGGTCTCATGATTAAGGATTGCAAATCACAAGATTTTCAGCCCAAATTCCCTGTATTTTTCTCTTTGGACCGAACTCAGTTGTGGCTTATTTAGTTTAAACAACACTCCAAATGCAATAAATGTTAAAAATGCTTGCTTGAAAATCTTCACTATTAGATCAATCTTTTCCCTGCCTGCAAAACACAAGAGCAGCATAAAAGAAGATGCTGGATGCCTGCAAGACTCATGACTCAGAAATGTGTGTGTGTTGGGAGTGGAGATGTTCTCAAGTAAATTACTTACCCACATAGTATGGTGTGTAGCATGGCGTAGCTAGGGAGTTATGCGTGGTGGTTTCTTTAGCAAAGCCAAAGTCTGTGAGTTTTAATACAGCGTTGGGTCTTTTTGAGGTGTATAAGAGGTTTTCTGGCTGCAAGACATAATAAGCAAATGCTGCTGGAGAGAATGCTTCCTTTTGTACCACTTTGCAAAGCCTAGCTGGTGACACAGCAAGACCAGATATTCAAATTTAGCAGATTTCAAATATATCCCACCACACAGAGCCATTCACTTATATCTACTAATACCTATTGAACCTTCAATAATAATTATCCCCAGGATAGACTTACAATCACTTGAAAACACAGATATACATCAATGGAAATGAAATCAAACAATTCAATTTATATTTTAAAAGAGCCCATCAAACTGAAAAAGTCTTTAGCTTGTCTTGAAAAGACATTAGAGTGGCACCATATACCGTGTTTCCCCCAAAATAAGACAAGGTCTTATATTAATTTTTGCTCCAAAAACGCATTAGGGCTAATTTTCAGGGGATGGTTTTGTTTTGTTTTGTTTTTTGCATGTACAGTACAACAATCTATATTTAAATACAGTCTTCTCATTGTCTGGTTGCTGCACAATGGCGGAGGGTGGGGTTTCACTTAACTGGGACTTATGTTTGGGGTAGGGCTTATATTACGAGCATCCTGAAAAATTATACTAGGGCTTATTTTCAGGTTAGGTCTTATTTTCAGGGAAACAGGGTATGTTTTCTTTTAGGGGATGTATTCCACATAAAAAAATAAAAATAAAAATGCCATCACCACATCTCAGCATTTACAATAATCTTCCAGTCCAGCTAGTCACTTCCTTCTTGTCAGATGTTATATGCTAGTCTTCCATCACCCAGCATCCTCTAGTATTATACTACAATTCCCATAATTCTCATCCAGCATGAACAGAGCATCCAGGGCATACATGCTCTTGTTTCACTATTCATTGCTGCAGCTCTAGCAGCTCCTAGTGTTATTGTCATGTGCCTTCAAGCTGCATCGGACATATAGTGACCTTATGAATAAATGACATCCAAAATGTTCAGTCATTAACAGTCCTGCTTAGCTCTTGAAAGCTGAAACTCATTGCTTCTTTTATGGAGTCTGTCCACTTCATAGCTGACCTTCCTCTTCTCCTACTGCCTTCAACTTCTCCTGGCATTATTGCCTTTTCCAGTGAGTCTTGTTGTCTTATGATATGCCCCAAGTACAATAGTTTAGTCATTTTTGCTTCCAGAAAAAATTCATTTGTTTGTCCTCCTGGTGGTCCAGCGTAACCATCCAGCTCTCTTCCGGCACCACATTTCAAACAAATCATATTTTTTTTTCCTTGTCTGCAACCTTGATTGCCAGCTATCACATCCATACATAGCAATCAGGAATATAATACAGTGGATGACCTTGGTCTCCAGTGACCTATCCTTAATTTCATAAACTTTTCTAGTTCCTTCACGGCTGCCTTTCCGAGTCTCCATCTTTTTCTGATCTCTTGACTAGTCTCCATTTGGACTGATGATTGAACCAAGGTATACAAAAAAAACTTTAACAATTTCAGGTTTTTTTTATTATCAATAGAAAAGTTATGTAATACTTCTGTAAGTCATGATTTTGATCTTTTTAATGTTCCACTGTAATTCTGCTTTTGCACTTTCTTCTTTAACCTTCTTAAGATATTGTTTCAAGTCATTGCTATTTTCTGCCAGTAATATGGTCTCATCTGAATATCTCAAATTAGACTGGAAGGAGGCTTCAAGATCTATTTGTAGAAAGGATTATGCATTGCCCCTGAGGCAACAGGATGAGCTTGGCAAGGTTCCTTCTTCCTGCCTCTTACATAAGTGCTTGTCCCCTAGGAGGTTAATGTCATTCATCTCCTTAGGAAGCCAAGTCTTCCTTGGTTCAAACCGCTGGCTGTGGAACTGGTTCAGAAGCCTCATTCTCTTCTGCTCTTTTGTTGTATATGTTCTTATGTATGTAGACACAGCGTCATATTTTATCGATTAAGAATATCAAGAAATGTGCAACAAATGCACAAAATCCCAGTAATAGTGTCAACCTTGCCTTTGCTGTGCTACTGCTCAGAAGACAAAGCTACTCTTTTCAAAACAATCAGGGAGCTTGGAAATGTTACTTTTATGCAGTATAATATCCAGAGACCATGCAAGGAATACTGCGAACTGTAGTTCAAAATTGTAACTTTCTCTGGCAGTCTTTTCATAGAGTTTTCAAAGCATACAATATTCAGAAGTCATTTAGCATTGCCTTCTTCTGTGCAGTAGTAAATCGAGTGTCACTGCCGGTCAGCTACTGCTGCTGCCCAATATCTGCCCTCCAGGAGTTTTTCCATAGCCTTCACTGCTGGAACCATCAATTCTTTTCTGCTGATATGGCTGTTAATCCTGAAGAGGGTAAATTATTCTTAATTGGATGTCTGAGCTTTGACCATTCTGCCTTCGGTGACCTTGACAGGAATCCAGACTTGTAATGGAGTCTGGGCCTCCTGACAGCATTGCTCATGGCTTCCCTGACACACTCAATTCCCTTCACCAACTTAAGGTGCACATCCAAGAGACAGAGAAGAAAATGCAAGAGTAGGATTACAGTTGAACATTAAGAAGTCAAAAATCATGAGTACAGTGCTGGAAGAGAGTTTGCTGGATACCATGGACCACTTGCAACACAAACAAGTAGGTCCTAGATTAAATCAAGTTTGAACTGTCACTAGATGCTTAATGTTCTAAACCAAGGCTATCATACTTTGGATATATCATAAAAAGACAGGTGTATATATGTGTTATGTACTATCAAGTCAAATCCAATTTATAGAGACTTTAGTAGGGTTTTCAAAGTAAGGGAGATATTTCAGGAGTGATTTTACCAACGACACAAACACTTCCAGGGAATTTCCATGGTCAAATGGGGATTCGAACCCAGACCTCCTGAATTCTAGTCTGTCACTCTATACACTATACCACACTGGGTGTGAGATGACAAGGCTCTTTGGAGAAGACAACAACATTAGCAAGAGCAAGAAACATTAAATGAAGAGGAAGCCCAAATAAGAGGGGGTTGACTCAATAAAGGAAGACACAGCTGTTAATGGTGGAATTTTTAATCACCATAAGTTGAAAGTGAATTGATGGCACATAACATCCCACTTTCTTCTTTCTTTAAAACCATGCTTTCGACACTTGAAAACCTCTGACACAACAAACAACTTCAATGAAGGATTCTGAACCCAAATATCTTTGGAACAGTTCTAATCAAAAGGAACCATTGATTTACTTAGGATTCTTCCAGATACTTCCATAACCATCCTGAGCTTATATACAGAAGCTGGGCAGTCACTGCTCTGCTTTATATTTGAAGGCGAGATAAGGGTACAGACGTCCCCAAGAGGCCATCTCTTGCTATGGCAAAAATTAAGGGCCTGCCGTTATCTCTGTAGACGTAGAAGATCCCTAGAAAATAAATGTTTTCTCCTGCAGCTTTCCATCTCAGCAAAATTATTCATTTTGTATACTGACCACTTGGGAAAACTTCCAGTGTAGTTGTAGCAGAAGCAAAAAGAACAATAAACATGACCGAGGGAATTATCTGCCTATGAGTCTCTGAGTCCCCTACATGTAGTTTCCAAATTCCACCCAGCTCTTCCTCCAAAAAGTGAAACTCTGGATGATAAAATTTCTGGGTGTTATACCGCCCCCAACATAAAAGCTTCCACCACCAGAAGAGGGAAATACAATCAACATTTCCCTTGGAAGTACGTACATCCTACATATGGATGAAATGTTAAAAGGGCCTGGAAAGGCTGCCAAGCAATGGTTATTTCTTGTTATTCATTAGCATTGTATAGGCTGGGCTTCATCTAAAGAATTACCTTAACATCCCGGTGTGCAATGTTGATTGAATGTAAATACTGAATGGCTTCTCCAATGCTCTTCATTATCTCAGATGCCTCTGGAGAGGATAAGGAAAAATGCATTATTTTAGACAGGCAACCACCTCAAATACCCAGCTTAAGGAGAGCAAAGCCACAAAAGTCCTTCCTTGTTGTAACCTTCAAATCAGGAGGTTATTACAAGGGAAATGAGAGACCAGCAGTCACATGTTGTGCTTTACTCTTGTTTTCCTTAACATCTCAATCCTGATGGAATTGCACATAATTCTCATGTATTTGTTGTGCATTAATGGCTGGAAGTGGTGGCATGTTCCATGAAAGTAATTAATTCCAGTGATTATCCAGGACATGATTTGGAAGACAAGAAAGACCCCCACACTAATTTAGAAGGTATGGATAAACCAAGAGGTAAGTAATTTGGAAACTGTAGTTGAAGAAGAAGAAAAAGAAGAAGGTGGTAAAGAAGGAGGAGGAGGAGGA